AAAAATCTCTCTCTCTGAGTCATTATATACGAGTTAAAAAATAAAGTGCGTATGCCTATATATCCATTGCGCATACTCAAAAATCCCTCTCTCTCTGCGTCATTGTATAGGAGTTAAAAATAATCTTTATCCCTCTCTACAGCCAGGTATGATATTCTCTCTCTTTGTCTCTCTCCGACGACGAAAAAATAACTTTTTTTCGTACGTTGGCTTTTGCTTGACGATCGGCCTATATAAAGCCGAAGCAAATCCTCATAATTTACATAAACATATTCATCTGCTATTATCATCTCACTTCGAACAATAACCAATTATTATGAATAACAACATCATGAAAATCACTTGTGGCATTGTTATATTAATGGTCATATTTCATATGGCAAATGGTGCAGCAATTAAAAATTCTGAAGCAAAAGATTTGCTTCGTCACCTAATTCAAAAACGTACAGACTCATCATTTTCAACGAGGTTTTTCTACTAAGCACTGCATACAAACTCCAAATGACAAACATTCCAGTATGAGAATGGAACACTGCTTAAAACAATAGTTTGTCATGTGATATGCATCCAACTCGCTAACTGCACACATTCGATTCGCATTCAGAAAAACTTTTGAATACAACCTTGATATAAACTATTCATTTGTTGTGTGTTCCACCACCATCTACTGCGCTTGAGATCTTGGCTCAGAACTAAGCAAAAAATATTTGAACAGAATCTTGATATCCATTGTTCATTTGCTATGTGTTCCTCCATCGCGTAATACAGTCGGAAACTTTCCGTCGGACTGAACAGTACGTTTCGACAAAGTCCTCCTATGAATTATTCATTTGTTCAGTGATCAACCCCCATCTACTGGAATCAAAATCTTTGCTTCCAACTGGACAAAATATTTGAGATGAATATTTGTCTGAGCTGCCCAGTGTCACATGTTCCTCCCCCATGTAATGAACTCGAATTCTATACTTCCAACTGAACAAAATATTTGAATAGAATTTTAATGTGAATTAATCGTTTATTATGTCCTCTTCAATCATGCGATGAACACAAAATCTTTCCTACGAACAGAGTAAAACATTCGAAAAGAATTTTAATGTGAATTATTCGTTTATTATGTCCTCTTCAATCATGTGATGAACACAAAATATTTCTTTCGAACTGAACAAAACATTTGAATAGAATCTTCGTATGCATTATACGTTTCTCGTATGTTCCACAGCTCTGTGATGAACTTTAAATCTTTCCCTTGGACCGAAGTAAACATTTAAATAGAATCTTACTATAAACTATTCATTTTTGTTATATATTCATTCCTCATATAATGGAATCAAAATCTTTACTTCGAACTGAACAAAATATTTGAATACAATCCTATTGTGAATTAGCCATATGCCGTGTGTTCCTTCGCCGTCTAATAAACTTGCGATCTTTGCTTCGAACTGAACAAAATATTTGAATAGAATCATAATATAAATTATTCATTCACGGTGTTTTCATTCACCATGTAATAAACTCGACATCTTTGCTTCGAACTGAACAAAATATTTGAATACAATCATCCTGTGAATTAGCCATATGCCGTGTGTTCCTCCGCCATGTAATAAACTGGACATCTTCGCTTCGAAATGAACAAAATATCTGAATAGAATCATACTATAAATTATTCATTCACGGTGTTTTCATTCACCATGTAATAAACTCGACATCTTTGCTTCGAACTGAACAAAATATTTGAATACAATCGTCTTGTGAATTAGCCATATGCCGTGTGTTCCTCCGCCATGTAACAAACTCGACATCTTCGCTTCGAACTGAACAAAATACTCCAGTAGAATCTTTCTATGAATTATCTGTTTGTCGTATGTTCCTCCACTATGTAATAAACTCGACATCTTTACTTCGAACTAAATAAAATATCTAAATAGAATCTTACTATGAATTATCTGTTTGTCGTATGTTCCTCCACTATGTGATAAACTCGAAATCCTTACTTCGAACTGAACAAAATACTCCAGTAGAATCTTTCTATGAATTATCTATTTGTCGTATGTTCCTCCACTATGTAATGAACTCGACATCTTTACTTCGAACTGAACAAAACATTTGAATAGAATCTTAATATCCAGTCTCATTTTTCGCGTGACCCTTTGTCATTTATTGAAGTCGAAATCTTTACTTCGAACTGAACAAAATATCTGAATAGAATCTCGCTATGAATTATCTGTTTGTCGTATGTTCCTCCACCATGTAATGAACTCGACATCTTTGCTTCGAACTCAACAAACTATTTGACAAGAAGATTTGTTTAGAGTGCTCATCTATCGTCTGTTCCTTCACTATTTAATGAACTCAGAATCTTTCCTCCGAGCTGAACATAGTATTTCGATAGAATCTTCGTATGAATTATTCATTTGTCGTATGTTCCTGCACCATCTATTAAACTCGATATGTTTGGTCCGAATTGAAGAAAACATTTAAATAGAATCTTGCTATGAATCATCTATTTCTCGTATGTACCTCAATCATGTAATGAACTCGATATGTTTGGTTCGAACTGAACAAAATATTTGACAAAGAGATTTGTTTAAAGTTCTCATCTATCGTCTGTACCTTCACCATCTAATAAAATCAAAATCTTTACTTCGAGTTGAACATAGTATTTCGATAGAATCTTCGTATGAATTATTCATTTATCGCATGTGCCTACACGATGTAATGAACTCGATATGTTTCTTTCGAATTGAAGAGAATATTTCAATAGAATCATGGTATGAGTTAATCGTTTGTTATGTCTCCCTCGATCATTTAATCAACACAAAGTATTTCCTTTGAACTGAACAAAACATTTCAATAGAACCTTACTATCAACTATTCATTTTTGTTATATGTTCATTTCCCATATAATGAAATCAAAATATTTACTTCGAACTGACCAAAATATTTGAATACAATCATACTGTGAATTAGCCGTATGCCCTCTTTCCATTCACCATGTAATAAACTCGACATCTTTGCTTCGAACTGAACAAAGTATTTGAATAGAATCATGGTGTGACTTATCTGTTTGTCGTATGTGCCTCCACCCTGTAATGAACTCGACATCTACGCTTGGAACTGAACAAAATATTTGAATAGAATCTTGCTATGAATTAATCATTCGTGGTGTCTTCATTCACCATATAATAAACTCGAAATCTTTCCTTGGAACTAAACAAAATATCTAAATAGAATCTTGTTATGAACTATCTATTTGTCGTATGTTCCTCCACCATGTAATGAACTCGACAACTTTGCTTCGAACTGAACAAAATATTTGAATAGAATCTTGCTATGAATTATTCATTCGTGGTATTTGCACTCACCATGTAATGAACTCGACATCTTTACTTCGAGCTGAACAAAATATCTAGATAGAATCTTGCTATGAATTATTCATTCGCGGTATTTTCACTCACCATGTAATGAACTCGAAATCTTTACTTCGAACTGAACAAAATATCTGAATAGAATCTTGCTATGAATTATCTGTTTGTCCTACGTGCATCCGCCATGTAATGAACTCAACATTTTTGCTTCGAACCCAACAAACTATTTGACAAGGAGATTTGTTTAGAGTGCTCATCTATCGTCTGTTCCTTCACTATTTAATGAACTCAGAATCTTTCCTCCGAGCTGAACATAGTATTTCGATAGAATCTTCGTATGAATTATTCATTTGTCGTATGTTCCTGCACCATCTATTAAACTCGGAATTTATAGTTTCAAGTGAACAAGACATTTGAAAAGTATTTGAACAGTATTTTTGTATGAGCTGCTCATCTGCAGAGCGTTCCTCTATCATTTAATAAACTCCAAGTCTTTGCTTCGAACGCAAAAAATATTTGAACACAATGTTCTTATGAGTTATTCCAGCGTTACGGATCTCTCCACCACGTAGTGAACTCAAATTCTTGGCTTTAAACTAAACAAAATATTTCAGTAGCATCTTAAGATGAATTTCCATTTGTCGGGTGATTTTGCGTCAACTCTTGACATCGATATCTTTGCTTTAGCACCGAATAAAATATTTGAATAAAATCTGACTATGAATTATTCATGTGTGGTGTACTTCTCTACCGTGCACTGTATTCAAAATGTTGGCTTCTAACTGCCAAAAGCTTTTGACATGAATGTTTGTTTCAGCAGCCCATTCCTTATGTATCTCTCCATCATGTAATGAGCTCGAAACCTTTACTTCGAACTGAACAAAATATTTGAGTAGAATCTTAATATGAATAATTCCTGCGTTGTGTATCTCTCTGCCATCTACTGGACTAGACATCTTTGCTTCGAGCGAAACAGACATTTGAATAGGATCTTGTTATGAAGTCTCATCTGTCGCGTGATCCTCCGTCATCCATTAAACAGGAAATCTCTGCTTCAAACTGGACAACACAGTCGAGTACAATCTGACTATGAGTTATTCCTGTGTAGTGTATTCCACCGTCATCTATCGAACTTGAAGTCCCTGCTTCGGACGCAGCAAAATATTTGAATAGAATTTTTATATGAATTATTCGTATGTTATGTATCTCTCAACCATGTAATGAACACGAAATCTTTACTTCGAATTCAACATAGTATTTCAATGAAAATTTAATATGGATTCTCATTTGTCGCGTGACCCTCCGTTACCTATCGAAGTGAAAATTTCTGCTTCGAACTGAAGAAAATAATTGAGCACAATTTTGCTATGAATCATTCACGTGTTGCGTGTTCGTCCACCTTGTAATGAACTCGGAATCTTTGTTTCGAACTCAA